AAAAAAAAAAAAAAAAAAAGAATATATAAAAGAAAATTTTTAAAGAACCACCTCTGATTCCATGATTTTGGAGCACTATTCTCTAAGGCATAAACCTCATCCATCACAGCCTCTGGTTTTTGTACTCATCAGAAATTCCTGCATGATACAGCAAAGAGGTCCTGGGCTTTGAGCCTCTTAGCCAGAATAAAAGGTTGAACACTGAATGGCCTTGGCCAAACATTTAACCACTGAATACCAGGTTTTCAATATCTGAAACAGAGACAATAGTACCTAGCTCAAGGCCACTGGGAGCATTTATAGAAGAGAGAAAACATTAGTTCTGCTTTCCTTATTTTGCCACAATTCATGGACTGATGTTCTACGTCAGTCATTAAGCAATGCTTGATTGTTTAATGTTAACATCAGGAATGTAGACAGCATTAACGTTAGATTTTTTTCGTAAAGTGAAACTTTAGACCCTTTCCTTCTAATTATTTGCTTACTTAAAAATTGTCCTTAATTAGAGTTCCTTAAAAACATTTTGATTCAAATAACCATAAACAATGACATTTTTAACATGGTAAACAGGCAACAAAACCAACTCTGGTTGACTTCAGAGAAGGGGAGTTTTTTGGAAGCATGTCCTGTTGCTTCCAGAATCGACTGTAAGCTGAAGCAGAAGTTCTAACAGCGGGATCTGTGAACTCCTGGAGTCTCTGAGACCCTTTCAGAGAATCTTCGAAGTGAAAACTAATTCCATAATGATAATAAGATGTTTTGTATCTTTTTCACTATGTTGACATTTGCACTAACAGTGCAAAAGCAACACTGAGGAAATCTGATGGTGCCTTAGCACAAATCGAGGTAAATAATATTCATAGTAATTGTATTCTTCACAACTATACACTACAGGGGAAAAAAAAAGGAATCCATTTCACTTTAGAATGCCTTGAGGCAGCCGTGAAATCATTAAATCTTGGCCCTTGAGAACATTTTAATATTATATATGATGAAATGGGAAACAGGATTCAATCACTTCCGCTGAACACTTGTGCATAATGACTGACTCAAGAAAATGCATGTTTACAATTCCTAGAGTTGCAAACTGAACTGGCCACTTTTTTCATGGAACACCATTTTTAATCGAGAGAGTGACTGACAAACCTCACACTTGGTCTTTGGCAGGCATTTTCTCAAAAATAACCAAACTGAGGCTGTCACTTCAAGGACACCAACTGACAGTATTGTAGCCAATGATAAAATACAAGCCTTCAGGTGAAAATTAGAATTTTTAAGAAACCTTGTCATTTAGGATGTTTTTTGCTGTGAGCTTGACAGCTTCCCAGTGCTTCAAAATGTTTCTGATGATCTTGGTGGTGATATTAAAAAGTATGGGTTTTTTATATTAGGTAATGAAATATATCAAAATTTGAAAGGTCTGCATATATTTTTCCAAATGTCCAATGCGCAGTGTTACAAAATCATTGCTGAGTAAATGATCCACTCAAAGTGTAAGACAGACCAATAGATTCTGAGGAAACAAAATATAAACTATTCATTGCTACAGTTTCTTTCGTATTTCACATTGTAAATAATCTTTAAGAAACTACTACCTGCAAATGTTGGTATACTGTCAAAGAAGAAGTCCACAACTGCCTGAAAAGTTACTAACATTTTCCTGCCTTTTCTAGGTAAGGCTAGATTTTCTTCATGTTCTTCAACCAAAACAACAAATTGCAACAGATTGAATGCAAAAGCAGATATAAGAATCCATCTATTTTCTATTAAGCCAGACATTAGAGAGATTTGAAAAAAAAATGTTAAAGAAAGGCATGCTTCTCTCTAATATTTTTGTTTTAGAAAATTAGTTATTTTTCATAAAACTATCTTTCATTTTTTTGGTAGAGACAGGGTCTTGCTATGTTGCCCAGGCTGGCCTTAGACTCCTTGCCTCTCAAAAAAAAAAAAAAAAAGTGCCAACTTCAGAGAAACAGGCTTGCAGGAACAAAACTAAACTAAACAAGCAAACCAATTAGGATACTTTCTGCTATAAGAAACAGAAAACTCAACTTGAACTGACTTAAATAAAAAAGAAAATTTCACCCCAATTACCCTGATGTGATTATTACACACGTGATCAGAACATCACATGTACCTCATGAATATATACATGAATATTATATACCCATAATATTTTTAAATTGTTTAAATAAAATGTTTTTTAAAATCACATTGTACAAAAAAATAAAAATAAAAATGAAATCTCTTCTTGCACGTAAAGGAAGCACCTGGGAGGGAAGGTGTCAGGACTGGTTGATTTCAGCCACGTGCATGATGTCAAGGGTCCTGGATCTTTCTGTCGCTCTCCACTGCTGCCTGCAGCATTGACGTCAGCCTTAGAAGGGTGGCCACCTGGTCACAGGATCCACAAGGATAGCTGCAGTCGCAATCAGGGTGGCAGTTTTCTTGCTCACGTGTAGCAGGTAAGAGAGGAAAATATTTTTTCCAACTGTGGAACATAAATCCTCCTCTCAGTCTGATTGGTCCATCTTGAGTTAGAGCCTGCCAGGGGATGATCATGCCCTGACTGGACGAGACCTGCCGTGGAACTAGGGTTAGGGCACCCCCCATGAAAAGTAAAGAAAAAGAAAAGGTGGTGTTAGCAACGAGGAAGGGGAAGCCATGGCTATTGAATAGGCTGCAATGCCCATTCCAACAGGCAATAAACAGGGAGCTGAGTCTGTCTGGATTTGAAGAGCCAAAGCCAAAATTAGACCAGCAGGATCTGGTTAGGAAACAGCACTGTCCAGCAGATGTCTCTCAGGCTCTGCCATCGCCACTGCTTCCTAAGCCGCTGGACAGTAGATACCTCCTGTGACCATTGCTGGAAGACTGACTATTTTTTGAGACAGGGTCTCATTCACTCTGTTGTCCAGGCTTGAGTGCAGTGGCATGATCTCGGATCTCAGCTCACTGCAACCTCTGCCTCCCAGGTTCCAGCGATTCTCCCACCTCAGATCACCTTCCTGAGTAGCTAGAACTACAGACATGCACCATCAATCCTGGCTAATTTTTGTGTTTTTCAGTAGAGAGCGGGTT